AAGGAGAGTGGTAGTGGATTTAATTACGGTGCACAAAATCATTCTGAGCACAATCAATTATTATGCTACCAACTTGTTTTCCTTCAAACCTTCAAAAACTTGAAGCAAATCAAACAAATTATGTTTCGCCCCGGTCAAGAGTTCACTAGGCAAGAACTTCTCTACGCATAGAGCTGGCTCAGAGTATAGCAAGTTCAGCAAAAAGGTCAGTTGCTCATTCAAATATCGTGAACTGTGATGTTGGTTTGCTTGGAACTCTCATGAGGTTGAAATAAAAATTTATTAGCTAATGTTTCGGCGATACCGCTTTCCTCAGGACCTGAAAGTGGATCAAAAACAACGCGTGGATATTAGATCAAAGGTCTCCGCAATCCTACGGAAGGTCTAGACCCCCAGGGCACCACGTAACCTAAAGAAGGGGCACTCACCGTCACTTTGTGGATCCTCGAAATCACCCAGCAGCCGATAGTGGGACCAGGTCAGCTGGGCTTGCACTTCATCGAAACCCTTGTGGGAAGGCAAAGCTTGTACAAGGCCTTAGTTTCCGCGTAATTGTGAGGCATTCTTTCTTCCAATTCATTTTTAGAGCCCGGGGGGTTTTCGAACTTTCGTAGGGTTGTGGAGACCTTTGATCTAATATCCACGAATTGTTTTCGATCCATTTTCATGCTCTGTGGAAGGCGATGTCACCGAAGCGTTAGCTAATAATTTTTATAACAACCTCATGAGAGTTCCAAGCAAACCAACATCAAGTCTCAACCATGCCGAGGTTTATATAACCCCGAACATGGATATTGTCATTTGTGCCTTTAACGTATCTATAATTTACAGACTATTTTATATAAGCATGAAAGGAAGGCAAAGCGAATCTTACCATGTCAAATAAATTGAATACATTATATTTTCATGTTGTATGCTGTTGTTACATGATTATTCTTTTTCTTTGAGGTTATTTTATAACTCTCGTAACCCCTCTGATTATTCATTCAATTTCAGATCTGAAGATGATCTGTTGGTGTTGTTAGCAGCGGTAGAATGGGGACCAAATGCATACGTGCTGAGTAACGATAGATTCAGTGCGCATGTTGAAAGGGCTAACTGTACTGGTCGACTTTCTCTTGAAGAGTGGATGCGTCGACGAATGATACGTTTTGATAAACTTAACTGGCAGTATGATGTGAGTCTAGCAAATTGCAGCTATACTTCCTTCTAATATAGTCTATTTGGTACAACCGAAATTCTTATTTCAGGCCCTTCCTGAATACGGGGAATTTGTTCAACAAGTCAATTCAAACACATACTTTGTGCCGATTTCTGATGAAGCCCCCGGCATTCCTCTACGATCTGCTCGGCTGGTGATATTGTGATCGTGAAGATGTGGTAGTTGTATTGGTTAAGAGATGTCATTTACCTCTGTAAAGTTCCAATCGAGCGAGTGCTGATGGCAGCAGAGTGATGGTAGGGTTTTTAGCATTCTAGACTATGTAGAATGTAGCTTCAACTACACCGAATAATTTTATTGTAGTTACTTATTATGTAGCTAACAGATGCTGATACTTGCTATAGCAATCGATGTTCAGCGATGATTTGAGTACAGGCTGTCACATTTCTAATCTTCTGCATTCAGGTGCCTTCTTTCGTTACGTTCATCGAAATTAATTTGTTATATTTTTTATATCAGTTTGTACCTCTATTCTTGTGCCGAAATGCAAACATTGCAAAATGTACTTCTTTTTTTCGAGAGGAGCTCAATGTAGCTTTCTAAAAAGGCAAAACTCGAGTTTCTCAGTCTACTGCATATTTCTTGTGATATTCTTGAAGGCACGGTTCACGATAGAAGTGGCTACTGAAATGTTCCCCTAGGAATACCCACTGGGCCCCATGGGTGGTAGAAGGGACCCTCTAGCCCCCACAATCTCGGCGGTTAGGGCATAGTGGAAACCCTGTTGCTGTCGTAAGTGGCTTTCCCGCCTCTCGATCGATGTCACGTCAGACGAGTGTCGAGGCAAAGCAGACTGCTATTATTCGTTCTAGGCCCCACACACAATCAGCTGATCGCCGATTGATGAAGCGATGTTATTATCTCACTCTTTTTTCCTCCGTGTTTCTTTTTGCTGCCTCAATCCCTTTTTTAATTTCCTACCCAAAGAGCTGAAAAAAGTGCTTTTACTGTTGCTAGGGCTTTTTTGTTTGCTTATGCTTATGATGCTTATGAGGAAATGAATTATTGCTCAGTCTGTTATTAGCACCAGAACCCACGCGTATGCAAAGAGACACATTGTACAGCTTGTCCAAACGCCCCATTCTTCTCATTTTTCTGGTCTCGTTCTCGTCCAGCCCTCTTTTTGACGTTTTTTCGAATACTTTTTCTACTTTGGAAACACCGAATCACGCAGTTTTCTCATCTTCATCGCACTATTTTCGATCTTTTCTTCCATTTTTCATCATAATCTGGATTACCCAAAATTATCGTGAACTGTCCCTTTAAAACAACGGTGGTCAAGATGTGCAGGAGCAACTTAGAGACGATATTATGCGAGGATGTTATTTTACGTCTTACAAGTGCAGCGGCACATGCCAATATACACCTACGTATGATAGCATACCAAGGATCATGCTCGGGAGAAACAACGGGACAAACAACATGTCCAGGAGGGCTCATGGCAGGTTGACAATCGCACCGCACCTAATCCCCGTCCTACGGAGTTAACACCGACTTGATGTATAATGGCTGTCCCCACGCCGGCTTGTGCCACTCAAGACAACGTAGGTGAGAGTCGGGTCCCTCACGAGGAAAAGCAAGGTAGCCCTAAGCTGACACATGTGGATAGATATACGCGTCTGCCCTTGTAAGCGCATTACTGCAACTATGGAGCCAAGTGGGCAGCGAGCGCGAGTGAGGCTCGATCACTAAGGCCCAACGTAGGTTTCCTACACGTTTAATCCCAGTCCGATGAACCATGTCGCGCCGGCGGTGATGCACTGCTCATCGCTATACATAGGCATCGTGGTTCGCCGCGCTTAGGAGCGGCGTCACCGTCGGCGGAAATGCCTGATCAGGGTCTTACGCGGCGCTCGCTCGCGCCCCATGCCACGCGGGATGTTGTTTTGGCCCTTGCAGCCCCTATGCTAGTCCTACACTCGAACTGTCGCCCTGAGCGCACTGCGTCCTACAACACGGAACAGCCAACGCACAGCCCAACTTCATCATGCAAACCAGATAAAATCTTCCACTGTGCAAACCGTCTACGGTATTAAGTTTTCAACACAGTTTTCTAAACAATCCTTCATAGGTACGCCAGTAAGAAGGATAAGAATATGTTAAGAGGAAGAAATGGTAAAAAGAAATGCATCTTAAATACATATATACATAGAAGGAAAACATTAAGTACTTTAGCAATTAAAAACTACGACGATGACGAGAAAAACCTACGTATCAGGAGGCTTAAACCCAGTACGTTGAGTCTCACGGGGGGGGGGGGGGGGGGGGGGGGGAGGGGGCAACGTGGATTGGGACCACTCGGTCCCTTTGGGCTTCCATGCCCAGTCGATCACTACGCATGCAATAGAATTGCATCATGTCTTCATCCTCGAGCGGGTACGACGGCAGGACGACGGGAAGTGGCGGCCAAAAACGACGACGACATGCAGTCACACTGCCGGATAATTTAGAACAGAGCCCGCGTCGAGTATAGCCAACGCAAAGGCGCCGACACGCTGTTCGCGCCGGGACCTCCGCGCGCCCTACCAGGCGCTGGCCCTTTAAAGAGTAGGACGGAAGCCACGACAAGCGGCATGCTAGGAACACTGAGGTAGGTAGTAAGAGCTGCCTGAAACAAACTCCGCTCACGGAGAGAAAGAAAGAGGCGTTATTGATATTTGATTACGACCGCTGCCCAGCAAAATTTGCCCAACGTTGAACGGGCGACCCGACTGGTAATAATAATATAGCACTTGCTTAGGAGCTTTTCAGCAGTTTCGGAAGAAGCAGTACGCAAATTTTCTTTGTTTCAGCATCCAGTTAGAAACGGTGGAAGGCCAGGTAGGGTTTGCCTAGGAAAAAACATATGTACTGATCTAAATTTCAAAGGTCACTCAGACACAATTCACGATCAGAATGGTTCGGGAGATAGCCAACTGGGAAGAATTTGTAACCCTGAACTTTACCATATAAGACGTCGTTGGACAAAGTGCAGCCCAGATAGAGTGCAATATGAGCTCAATGATAGGCTTCGTCGACCTCCACTCTCAAGTGCGAACGAGTTTCAACGACGATGCAGAGGCTGCAATATTCACAGTGGAGCTTAATTGTTTCGTACATGCTGAAGTTTTGTCTGAATGCCCCTCCCTGTCATGGTAAACTTGACAATCCCCTATTTCCGCTACCTTCGAAAAGTCTATATTTCTCAGAAACCGCGAGTCTTCATACTTTATTTGTCACCGATACGCTGCAATATCGCAGCTTTATTTAGCTTGCAATATGTATGTACTTCGGAATATCGTGGAATTCGCCTACAAGTAGTGAAAAGTTCTGTAGGATTCCTATAGAGCTCAGAACCCTCGACGAATGGGAAAATATGGGAGCGACGAAACGAAAGGGTAACTTTTAATCAAGCAGTCAGTCACCTCCAAATTGAAATGCAATAACTAACAACTGACCATGATATGATACGATACGATCGAATCTACAAAAGCGAAAGAGAGAGAAGCCACGGAAAACCGGTAATAACGTTGCGTGCGAAATGATACCGACAGGCGAGAACTTATTCTGTCACCACCCCGCTTTCTTTTTTTCAAGTTGCGCCAGAGACGTCGTACCTAGAGCGTTAGGCTTTTAAAGTCTTCGAGAATTTAATAAAAAAATTTTTGATTGGTTTTCATATTATCATTCCATTATACCATTAATTATTATAATATTACCAATATTTTAAAGAATGAAGGATAAAGTTTTTGGGCGTGATCAATCCCGTCTGAGGGATGCGCCACCGCATTCGACTTAAATTTAGAGTTGTAGTGAGGTTTCGAACGTATGGCCATGTACGTGGCCAATACATACAGTGGCTTGCGGTGGCCAGCCGATGTACAAGTCGATGCATTTGTCCGATCTCATTCGGCTTTAGTTCGTGCCAGCAGTTGGGTTCGATTGAACTTGGTTTGTCAAAAAGCAAGTGACCTTTGCTGACAGTTCGCCTCCCTACATGGCGCACAGCCCATTTTCGGCGTTGTCATAAACAACGACATTTCTTTTCTCGTTAATGGCTCAAATTTCTTGCCTTTTCTTTCGGGGTTTCATCTGGAGCTCCTTCATGCATGAATGTTTCCTAGCTTAGCCAAGCACCCTACTCTAAACGAGTGAAAGCAAGGTTGCGAGTCTATTAAGGGTGTGTAACAGCTCGGCAGAGGCAGGCCGTTTCATCATGGCAATAGCAAATTAATTGCCATAAACTATATTGTGAACAAAAGGCATCTGAAGCATGATGCGCGCACCTTCCAGCCTGTCGCCCGTCACCAGCCATCTAGCTTGACACATTTCTTTCTCGAATCAGCGAATCTTGCATTGGCATGGCTGCTGAGCTTCTTACGTGTCGGGCAACGGCGAGATCTGGTTCGTGAGATCGATAGCGATTGAAGTTTTTGAAAGTTTCGCTTGAAGACGAAAGCAGCTTGGTGGTGTATGAAACGATCGTATTTCCAGCTGCTATGGCACTTCGGTGATGACAGTTTACTTTGGATTTGAGCTTCTCACTGCATTACCTGACGTTCAGGGATAAGTCCTGGCTGTAATGCCAAGAACCTGTCCTTAGCCGAAATTCGACATGCTGTCGGCTATCGTCGTCGTGGTCGTCGTCGCTGTCGTCGTCGTCGTCGTCATCGCCGTCGCGGCCTCCTCCCCCACCGCCATCATGTTGTGGGAGTGCGGGTGTGTGAGAGCGTCGGACGACGACACGACATCTCTCCAAAACTTTCTATACGCGCTGTTGGCAGTTCTCAAACTGACTTACAACCGCATTCCATCGTTACGTTCACTTTCGCTTCTTATTTTCGTCATAAAACCTTCTGTCGAGTTTGTAGAGCCAGTAAACATATGTTTATGAGTGGTCGCTCAGTTTGTCCGTTCGCTGCCACCTTCCCCATTTACTACTGGGTATTCTTCTTTTATTGCCACTTTCTGTTTACACTGTAATTACCGTGTTTACTTAACTCCAATATTTTGTTTATAATAGCAACTTTACGGTCAAATCGAAGACATTTGCTTCGCTCGCTAAATTGAATCCGTTTGTGAGAGTCTTGGGGATGAGCAAGTTTATAGGAGTTATTTCAACCATTTGGGCCAAGGGCTATCATAATAGTTCACGCAACTGTTGTG